GTAGTATGTCATAAACATTTTGAAGAGAAGTATAAAGTAGTTGGCTCTCGTCGAGGTCTAACACCTGAAGCATTTCCAACGCTATTCCTACCAGCAGTTCCTGGAAGAGTAGCGGATGGACTTTCCTCAAATAACGTAGAAATTGAATATGTTGATCAAACACCTTCTACTTCAAGTAAAGGTTCGAAGAAGAAGCAGAAGCAGACTAATAATATATGTTGGACTTCTTTTCGAGAAGGAAAGTTAGTAATCTACTCATTTATTTTATACTTATACTGTGTATTTTCTGTTTCATGACATTTGGGGTTGCAAAGCTGTATCGTAGAAGAAGAAGCAGACTAATAATATATGTTGGACTTCTTTTCGAGAAGGAAAGTTAGTACTTATTTATTTTATACTTATTGCTGTGTTTGAGAATCCACATCAGATGCATTTTTTACATCTCGAGCGTTTTTTTATCCACATACCTATATATAAAACGTTTATTTAGTCAAAAAAACTATTTTTTACATGTCAATACATCTTCACGTTTAAAATATAAAAAATACCTAAATATAGAATCAACATACATTTAAAATGCAATAAAAAATACATAAGATACAGTACACTTACATGTCAACTATACAAAACAATAAAAGAACAAGAAAGAGAAAAAAACGTCAATAGGTGAACAGGTATTCATGCAGTTTTATTTTAAATATTGCCACATTTGAAGAACATTTAATATCCTCAGGCAAATTATTAAAAGCCTGTACACCTTTAAAAAACACTGAATTTTGTGTACATTTTTCTTGTTACCTGTTTAGGTTCATGAACATCCTGATTATAACTTAAAATATTTTGTAAATATACTCTGGAGATTCCTGATTTAATTTTAAATATAAAAAGCAGGGAATAGAATAGCAAATATTTTTTAACAGTCAACCACTGAAGCACATTCAACATGGAATTGATTGGTTCCAATCTCGAACAGCTCAGTATTATCCTCAGACCTCTATTCTGCAACTTTTGCAATCATTGCAACTCATTCTGGTTGAGCAAATACAGTATAGTGGCACAATAATTAAAATAAGGTAATATTAAGAGTATTATAAATTATTATTTTAGTCCATTTGCCGAGATGTGGAGAACAGCGCCTCAAATAGTTTATTTTAAATCGGACACATCTGTCCCATTACATTTACGTAAATTGAATCACGTGATCAAAGATTTACTACATCTCAGTTGCATCCGATGTGGATTCTTAAACGCTGCATATACTGTGAAATTTGTGTTTCATGACGTTTGGGGTTGCAAAGCTGTATCGTAGATGTTGGACTTATTAAAAAATAAAGTATTCCTCGGACTTATAATTTTTTATTAATACATTTATTTTAATGAGATTGTACTTATACTGTCTTTCTTTTTTCACAGCTAAAGTTCTTCACAAAATGATGGACAGTGTTGTATCCTGGAATATGTAGCAGCCATCCAGCTACTTCATACATAATACAATTTTCATATACATTACATTTTTTAAATATTGGATTTGTATTATATTTATTCTTTAATAAATTTATTTTTTGAATATTCTTGTTTTTTTTTATCTAAAAACTGTTAGCCAAATTAAGATTTGTTCACACAAACTGCATTTTTGCTTTATTATAGCGATATTCGCTATAATAAAGCAAAAATGCAATTTGTGTGAACAAATCTTAATTTGGCTAACAGTTTTTAATGCGGATAATTTTTACTGTCAAATTTGAATAGCCCCGCGCTTTTCTTCTCTTCTTCTTTTTATTATTTTCTCTTCTTTCATATGGCCTCTTACCAGACAAGGACTTAATTGAAAAAAAATCAACCACGTCCACCAGGTGCCGCTAAAAACTCTATCATCCTTTTTTAACATGGGAGTTACCGTTCTAAGAGTAAGTGTTCTGTGCATCCTACTTATACGTGACAAATGACAGGCGCGCGAAAATTAATTTGAATCGCGAATAGCCCCCACTACAATTTGTTTTAGGTGCGTATTTATAAACAAAACTTACCTGAGACGGACTCGGGAGGTCGTCCTTGAACTAAAATCGAAGTTCGGTTACAACGTCTCTAAAGTTCTAGGTGGTTCTGGTGTTAGACTGGAATTTAGAGATGGATATTATCAAATCTGTAACTGCTATGTACATTTACGGATTTGTTACTACTCATCTCTAAATTCACGCGATATAACCGAACTTCGTCAAAATACTAAAATAGATATTTAACATAATATATATAAAAATTATTAAGTTAAAACTTTCTGTGGTAAATAAACTTGCATGTCTGATGCCATCCCATTACAAAAAAAAACCGAACTTCGATTTTCGTTCAAGGACGACTTACCCAAGTCCGACTGAATTTTGTTTATAAATACGGACCTTAAGGAGGTCCTTTCGCCACACCTCTCGCCTCAAATGTTAAAAAAAAGTTATTAGATTATGACTAAAATTAATTTTTTTCTAATAGTTGAAGTCCTTATTTAATACTGAACTTTTAACTATACCTTACCTTGCAAATTTTTGAGAATTTTTTTTTAAATGTGAGTATTTGTAGAGTGCCTCACGAGAAAGTAAGTCCTCAACAACAATTCTCGAATTATACTATTATTTATTAATTAGATGGAGTAGAAAAAAACTAAAAATAAGATTTTTGAAATATTTAGATTTTGTTTTATACAATAAAATATATATAGTAAACCGTGGAACTTATTGAGAAATTAATATTAAAAAATCACAAAAAATTTTCAAGTAACCTAGTTGAAATTTTTTTGTGATTTTTTATTAATAATTTCTCAATAAATTCCACGATAACCTATATATTTTATTGTAAAAAACAAAACCAAAATATTTCAAAAACCTTATTTTTAGTTTTTTTCTACTCCATCTAATCAATAAATAATAGTAAAATTAATTATAATTCGAAAATTGTTGTTGAAGTCTTACTTTCTCATAAGACACTGTACAAACACACACATTTTTAAAAAAAAATTTCTCAAAAATTTGCACGGTAAAGTATAGTTAAAAGTTCACTATTAGATAAATAAGGACATCTACTATTAGAAAAAAATTAATTTTAGTCATAATCTAATATTTTTTATTTAATATTGGTGGCGGAAGGACCTCCTTAAAGGATTCACAATTTTGCATTCTTGCCCCCCCTGGAAAAAGTTCTGGCGGCACCCATGTTAGGCCTTTAAAGATAATCCCCATACCAGTTCACGGCAAGCAGCATTAGATATAGTGATCTGGAAAATTCAACAGTTCAACAAGTTACTTTAGTACAAGAACTTATGGAAGATGATTTTGATAAAAGAGTTGAATTTTATGAAATTATAATGGACAAAAAGAACAGAAATCGAATATTTTTAAAAAATATACTTTTTTCCGATGAATCTACATTTTTACTAAACTGTCATGTCAATCAATCATCGGTATTGGGCTACCGAAAATCCACACTGGGTGCAAGAGTACCATATTCAATACCCAGAGAATTAATGAATGTTTGGGCGGGAACAGTAGATAATAAATTGGGCCATACTATTTCGAAAAAATTTTAACAGGTCTCCGATATTTAGAATTTTTTCAGAACTTCTTGATCCCCGAATTGAACCGATTGTCCCCAAACAGAAATGATTTGTGGCTACAGAAAGACTATGCTGTTTTGGTGCGAAACTACTTGGACATCTTCCCAAATCGGTTGATAGGTCAAAAGGTGGAATGACCTCCTAGGTCACCCGATTTAACTCCTCTTGATTTCTTTTTATAGGGATACTTGAAAAGAAAGGATGCGTATTGAGATTGTAAATATAACTCCGGAAATTTTGAAGAACGTCTTTCCCATTGTATTTTAGGGTCAACAATTTGAGCACTTGGTATAGATTTAGTTGTATTTAATGAAAAATAATAATTATTGTAATAATAAAAGGTAAGACGTCGGTGGAGGACATTAATTTGAACTCTTAATTTAGTAGAATATTTTTTAATCATTTTACTCTAAAATTGTCATTAAATTATTTTCTATTAATATTATTATTTTGTTACATTAAGCACTTAATTATAAATAATTAATTTTCATTCATTTATTGTGTTCTTATGCAAACTAAAATAAAATTTGTGTCTGATCTTTAATGACTTCTATTTAAAAAAATTGTTATGTAGGATATTGCAAACATTATGTTTCCAGGTATGAATTTGCAAGATCTATCCAAATCAAGAAAAAAAAATTGGGGTTACTATTTAAAAAAATTGTCAATGGCGTCACTGCCCAAAAATGGGAAAATTTAATTCATTTTGAAAAATTACGCTTTTAGTAAACAAAATTGACCTGTCCGAACATTTTTTCGAAAAAACAACTCCTTCCATTATAATGAATGTATTCCTTTCATTTGAACCATATTGTATATTGAAACCTCCAGTAGGTAACCTACCTAAAACTTTCATTGAATTCGTAGGTTTATTTTAGATGTAGGTACACATGAAATTCTCTCTTTGAAAATTCTCGGTCGACTTAATTACAATTCTAATTTCATCACCACTTGAATCTGAACCCATAATTTTCGAACAAAATATGTCACAAATATTATAGAAAATTAAGTAATAATATTAGTAGTTATTTATTGTTTAAAAGTTTGGTTTACTTTAATTATGGAACATATATGTCCACAGTTTTACAAATATAACAAATTAATAGTTGCTAATAACTAATATTAATTACCTAAAAATATTATGAAACTAATACTGATATTAAACTTTAACCAATATTATTAGACTAATAATAAGTTATTTGGATTAATTTTTTAGTAATGTCATATTGTTGCGCAGTAGCAAAATAAATGCAAGTGCCTTTCCTAACTCTCGATTCCAGATTCACTAACATCGATAAAGTACTGTGTTTCTATCATTCAAATTGCCTATATAAAATACCTTCCCCAAATTCGTCTTCAGCTCTCTGACTAATTTAATTTTAATTAACTTATTTCTATTTACCTCAAAAACTCGTAGTTTAAAATTGTAATATTGATTAACGAATCAAATGGAAAATGTTCTATTAATTCTTGAAGTGACTTATGATTCAACGTATCTGCGTGCTGGATGAGAATTTCTAATTCATCCATGCTCAAATTAGTCATTTTGATAAGTTTTGATAATAAGCACTAACAATAATTTGTTCTACTTTCTCGGCTAATAAACTAAATGTCAAAATTAATTTTTGAGATAGTTGACAAATTTCACAGCCCTCTATGGTAAAAATGCGTTTTTACTGTTACCAGTAAGGAAAGTATAGGAAATGTACCTGTAGAATCATGATTTTTTTTTACTGATCTTTACGTTCTGGGATCCGCTGGATCCATTTTCGCGATTATGTCTATCTGTGTGTGTCTGTATCCTCAATAACTCAAAAAAAGATAAAGAGAAATACACCAAATTTTAAACTTAAGCATTATTCAATTCTGCGTTGATCTGATTAGGTTTTGGGCATAGTCAGAGCATCTGGAGGGTACGTAATAGGGATTATTTTTCTTCTTTAAGGTATACAGTGGGTTTATAAAGTGTGGAAACGCGTCATTAAGTACCTATCTTATTACGAGGGGGCAACATATCCGTGGCTCGGGCTCAAGGGGGGTCCGGCAGCTTTAGAAGAAGAAATAAAATTTATGATTTTATGTATTTTTCTATTATTAAGAATGATTAATTTTTCTCAGCTGTTACACCAATAATTGGTCAAGATCAAAACTGTAGCTATTCACAAAGAAATTACGGTTCTTTACAAACATTTTTAGTACCTAATTAATAAGTACACTCATTTTAGTAGATCATGAAGAGTTTGTAGGTAAAACAAATAGATCACAATATGTGGGAGGGGGGCCCTTTGCCAGTGAAGTACTCTATTACATCCGAGCGTCTAGATAGATTACCCATCGAGGAAGCTACAGACGCGAGGCTAGAATGAGTTCCCGGGTATGTATAGGTTTTTACTCTCAATCTGCTATTATATTTATATAAGTTTCAAACAATAATATTAGTACTAATTTCTATCATAATTTGACATTTTTTTAACAAAGATACCTGTGAAAGCGTTGCTAGGCAAAATAATAAGTTGATTGAATCTGACAGATAGATAATTATTTTGCTAAAAAATAAAATAGTTTTTTTATACTTACTAATATGTTCTACAGTTAACTTTAATGTACCCCACCAGTATTGCGAAACACTACAACAAGTCGTTGAGAATTAATTAATATGATTTTCAATATCAATAAAATTAATGAAGTTATACATATGCAACTAACAATACAAGAAAGTAATATTGGTTGCATTGATGTCAGTATTTTTTTACCAAAACACAATTTTTTAAATGTTCTAATCAAAATTAGAAAAAATATTGTATGTAACACGTTAGGAAATGCCGTTTTTGTAATTCGTTCATGTTGCGAAACCTCACTCTGTTCGTCCCGCAAATATTACCTATGAAAGTGTTTTTAATGGAATTACAATATTTATAAATTCAACAAAACACAATCCGCAATACACTTTTAAAATTATCACACATCTTGATTGAAACTACACAGCCAGATTTTCTGGTTTTACTTTTTTTTTTGAGGAAATAATTTTGTGGTTGTAAGAAAAATATTGTACATCACTCATGTAAAAATTATTTTTCACGCTCGTAAATATACTATAGTATTTGAATAGATATTTATTGAACGTAAGAGTGGATAACTGAAAATAATAGTTTTAATATATTAAATAATGTGGATCTAATGCGAATACAGGATGAAAACATTTCTTTTATATGCGACGAGTTTGCCCGTGGGGGCCTCAGTCTCGATAAGGTGGGAACCACTCACGGTTCGTAGACAACACGGTGGCCTCATCACGGTTGCTAAGGACGTAGTGACGTCACGGAATGAAAAAGTGTCGTACATTAGTTTTTTAAAAATTTAATATTTTATTGTTATTTAGTGGTGTTTATATTTTTACTTTTGAACTTTGTTCTGGTGTTAGAGTATTTATAACATCGGTAGTTTGATTTTTTGACAGACAAGCTACAAAACAGCAGGGAAAAATCATGTAATGATTTACATCAAATCAGGGCCCCGCAACTGCGCGTGTAACGCGTGCACCGCACCTCTAAAGGGGCGCCAAACCGGAGGTCTGTATACAATTCGAATTTTTAATTTTTCTAACGATTCCAATGACTAAGACACTAAAAAAATCAAAAATGTTTTTGTCTCAATTCATGATAATATAATCAATAATGCTATCGAAGTTTATGTTCGTTGATATAATGACCTATTCCTATTGTGATAGAAAACATATCTATTTTTGAAATGAAATAGCTATTCAATTAGCGTTAATTATTAAATATAATAAAATCAATAGGTTAGTTAATACTGTGTGCAACATGCAATACCATGAATACCCGTATAAAGTATAAACTTGTCGATTTTTTCTGTGCAGACTCGAATACTGTACGAACGATGAGTAAGTTTCAAATTAGATCTTGTCGATTTTTCCTGTCCAGACTTGAATACTCTACGATCTACATTTTTCCTGTCCAGACTCGAATATTGTACCACGAGTAAGTTTCATATTAGATCTTGTCGATTTTTCCTGTCCAGACTTGAAGACTCATCTACGAACCACGAGAACACGAGTATAAATAAAACTACAGGAGGCGTCGTAATCCAAATAGTTAATATTTTCTTCGGCTACGTGAAGGTCAAAAACCAAGACGCAAAGTTATAGTTATAAGTATTCGACGGAGTGCTTTATATTTTGTGTTAATTGTGTTGTAATTACTGAGGCCCTTTCTATGGGGCCTCAGTATTGCATTCGTGCAGACTTAAAAGTTTTCTTACCCCCATTTTTTAAAACTTTTTTTCATGTTTCCTATCTTTCTGAGTCCGAAAATGCAAAAAAAAATTTCTGGTCGTCTGTGTGTATGTATGCCGGCACGATAACTCTAGAACGAAAGTTCTGATTGACTTGCGGTTTTGATTTTCTTGAATAATTAATTCTAACTTAGAACCCTATTGATTTTCAGAATTTTCGGTTCATCCCAACTACTTTAATATCAATTTTCTTAAAATCCGCATATGCATTTCCTATGTGACAATTTTAGGAATTCCAATTATTTCTAACGTCAACATTCCTAACATTTTAAACATTCCACAAATTGCAAAAATTCTCTAACGACCTGTCAAACAACAGCAGTTGATAGTAAAGGTGAAATTTCTAAGGCGGATTGCGATCTTCATACTTGTAACCATAGCCATTTTGGAGGCTATTTTTATTCGAAATTAGTCGCCAAGCCTGCCAATTTATGAAAAATATATAAGCGTTTCTTAAAAATGACTTTTTTTATGGTGGTGCTAACTAAAGCGTACTACTATTTCGTCCCTAGCCACAAAAAGACCTTCATCAAATTTACTGGCTCTCTGTCGCAACCCCATAGAATAATTAACCGACCATTTTAGTTGGCAAAAATCAGAATAATGCTTGGCTGTGCCTGTCAAGTATCAAGATGTCAACTGTGATGTGTAAATGGCTCTTAAATGGCAAATTATTTAAAAATGTTTACTTCTCTTGATATTTATTGCAAATAATTTGTAGTATATCTCAATTCAGGCTTTCCATAAATGAAGGTACAGCAAGACAGATGATAATAATATAATGTTCTTATACAAAGCACTTTTTTTATTATATAAAAGAGAGGTAGGATATAATGCTGGCTTTTTGTAGAAAATTTTTATTATACGATTTTGGATTACATATTCAACCAGCGAATTGTAAATAATAATTATAGTACACTTCTAGTCATAAATTTCCTCAATAAATAAAATTTAAAAATGAATCTTCTTACCTTGGTACCGAGCTATTTTGTTGTTTTTCATTTTAATTATAAAGTTGTCATTTATTTGTATGTTGAAAGAAGGCCTTTGTAAATTACATTGCTCTCTATGGATCTACTTTAACACAAAAATAGTTCTGTGGCTATAACACCTATCGTCGCAAAACTATTAATAATTTAAACATAGTAGGTAGTATCAATATAACATTAAGTGATTTTTAAAATAAAGTACATGATCTCAAAACAGAAATAATTTATAATAAATGCGGGTAAAAGGAGGGGTAAAATAACAATAAATTAATAAGGGAAATACTTAAAAAGGGCAGGTTTAAAGAGTATTATCACAAGAAAGTATATCCGTTCTGTTTATTTATCAAGTATTGTTTGAGGTTACTTTTGAATACATTTATTGTTATTTTTTTTAATTTCTGTAGGCAGTCTATTAAATTTTTTAAACCTTTAATAAAAATTGTATTTTGGGAACTTTTAGTGATGGCTTGCCGTAAATGAAAGTCACATTGGCTTCTTGTATTACAGTTGTGATGTTGCGAATTATATTGAATTTTTTCTAATAGATCTGATGCGATGGTACTATGTCATTTTTATTTCATAAATAAGTATCAGTCATGTACTGAACATAATTCTCAACTGAAAGCCGATTTGTTTCTTTTAACATAGTTGCAATACTTCTTCTGTCCTTTATTAATATTATATAAATAGGCGAAGTAAGGAGCCCAAATATTTTACATGGGCAGGCTTAAGAGGTAAAGGGGCCAATTATTATTGAATAAATTGCTCGAACAAGTTTGTAAACCCTAATCAAACCGTGATATAGAATGGTTTAAAAAATCAAGGCTTGTGAAAATCATCACATGGTTTAACCTAATTAATGCTAATGCTTCACAAACCCAAAAATTCAACGTCCTAATACTACTATCGGCTTTCGGTCTTTCGTTCCAAGTTAAATCATTTCTCGTTTTTGTTACGCTACGAGTTTACCCTTGTGGGCCTCAGTCTCGATAAGGTGGGAACCACCATTTTAGCTTCTCTTGAACTAAATTTTATGAAATGGTAAGTACCTACCCACATAATACCTATGTATTTGGCTTGATTTATGCCCGATTCGCCTGTTCCCATTTCGCCTGACCAATTAAAATTTCCCGATTCGCCTGACAAAGCTCAAATTGTGGTATCGTTTCGCCTGACCATAAGTTGGATGGTACGGGCATTTTTTATCATAAGGGTCATTTTCAAAATACATGCAAAATTTGATTAATAAGGATGATTTTATTTGAAACAAAAAAAAAAACTGCATTTAT